CTTTCCAAGGCCAAAATATCTTTTTTGAGGAGACCACATCTGTACACAGTATTCAAGATGTGGGCATACCATAGTTTTATACAGGGGCAGTAAGATATTCTGGGTCTTATTTTCTATCCCTTTCTTAATAATTCCTAGCATCCTATTTGCCTTTTTGACCGCTGCTTATCTCTATTTCTCTCTTTTGTAATGGCTTTTTTTCCTTTCTTGCTTAAGTCTGCTTTTAGGAATCCTATTAACACTTGCTCCCAGGTCTTCTAGGGGAAGGGAAGCTACCCTTCTCTATTCAATCTTGGGATCTTTGAGAGTGTAGGAATTATTATTATTATTACTATTATTATTATTATTTGTATACTTAGATACATTTTAAATTAATTGTGTTAATGACATCTTGGGAAGGAATTCAAGTGATTTGTGTTCTTACTGTAGTTTTTACTGTGGTAATCATAATCATTATTCCATTAGCAATAAAACTGTTTTCCATTTCATTCTCTGAGTTAAGGTAGTGGTGTTGTCTCAAGGGCCTGTTGAGCCTCAAGAGGGGGAGCCTTGTGATTCCACAGAATTGTAATCTGGAATAGAGAACGAACTTAGATCTTTTCTGATCAGATTGGCAAGCCTTACCCAACCAAATTTTACAAAACACCTTCCCAGGCTACAATGTCTCAATCTATAATTTGGGAAATACATTCACATCACATTCAAACTGAGCACAAAGGTCAGACAAACGAGGAGGATGGACAGAGGCTGTATTCAATAGTGACAGATGGCAGAACGAGGAGCAATGGTCTCAAGTTCCAGTGGGGGAGTTCTAGACTGGCTATAGGGCCCATTCTTCCTCTGAGAAATATACAGCCACCTCCACAAAGGTCACTGGCTCGACCACAGCCATTTCCTTTCCCTGGCTCTGCAGGCCATGAGCTGAGCTGGAGACAGACATGGATGTTCTAAAGCCTGTCGGGGAGAAAGGCAATTGGAGACATTTCAAAAGGGACTTTAATCCTTTCCTCACCCCCATTGTCCTCCCACTCTGTCCCTGTGACGTACATGCTAGACTCTGCCACTTTGGGCAAATCCTTCAATTTAGATATTCCATAAACAATACACACAAAGTTA